AATATAAATAAACTTCTCGTTCAATTCGCTAGGTATAGCTTATCCAACAAATTATGTTTTAATGATCTAACCGTATTGAAGTAGGTAAACAAATCTTTTGTCTAATTTAATAAAAAAAACACAAAACTCACGTGATTCGATTCCTTGAGCAGCAAAATCACAAAACTTTTTTCTACAACACTAATTTCGAATTCAAATTTGAATCTTTGAATGTTTTTTTTAATTAACCATTTCGCGAGCAAAGGTCGCGCCTCCTCGATTGGCCGACGACAACTGACTGACCATGTAGGTACATTGTGTGACGAGTTGAGAAACCGGTAGATGAGATAATAATATACATACATTAAGTTAGTATTAATACAATAGAGGCACGGGGCGGTAGGATTGCCTGCTTTTTTGGACATTAAATTAGGTACTTATGTGTACATTGACCATCAGGTAAGGTCGCAAGTTCAAATCCCGCTAAGAAAATTTGTAAATAAATGTTAAAAGCATGGGCATTTCAGAGCCTTTTAGGTCCTTGTTTAGAGTTATAGGTCCTTGTACTATGGGTACTAGACAACGGATATAAACATATTTTTTGTAAATAAATAGGTACATAATTATACATAGAAAACACCCAGACCCGTCACAGAAATTAAAATTCAGCATTTCAATTTCTGTCCGGCCGGGAATCGAACCCGGGACCTTGCATACGAGTAGTAGTCCGTTCTGAACCACTTCACCAAACGGCCGACAATACACATACTCAATCAAGTTTTATTAAATAAAAAAGAGGTAAAACAAAATGCGCTCGTAATATTCTAAGAAAGTAAAATCAATTATTTTGAATAATATTATGTTGTTTACAAAACCACTAATTAACTATAGGGATAAACTATACAAAATATCCTATCCTTATTTCCTTAAACCATTGAATTTAATTTACGATAGCTACTCATTGGGAAATAAATATACTCAACATCAAATAAAACTGATGACAGTTCTAAGCCTTTCGGCATTGATCTAGTAGCCTATCTGAAACTTTTTTGACAGATAAGTAACTAAACCTTCAGAGAGCCTTTCGTTAGAACCTATCTAGTGGGTTATCCAGGATTTATCTGACAAATAAACTTATCTAATAGCTTATCTGGGACTTATCTGGCAGATAAAATAAAACCAATCTCACTTTATTCATTTATTTTCCAAACATCACTTATGAACTAGAAACACTTGACTCGTGGTCGCCGGAGTCAGACGCCGCTTCAGCCGCGCGGCCGGGAACTTGTACTGCTGGTCGGCGCCGAGACAAGCGGCCGACATGAAGTACAGAGTGTAGTGTGCCGGCCGCCTGCTCCTACCGCGGGCCGCGAGCACCCCGGGACACGCGCTCGGTGGACTTGTCTCACAGATACACTGCGACAGAGCAGACACTTATCTGACAGATAAACTACAATTGTAACTTATCTGACAGATAAACTACGATAGAGCAGACACTTATCTGACAGATAAACTACGACAGAGCAGACTTACCTGACAGATAAACTACGACAGAGCAGACTTACCTGACAGATAAACTACGATAGAGCAGACACTTATCTGACAGATAAAGTACAGGTCTTAAAAGCCCTAAAAGCCTATCTGGGACTTATCTAAGAGACAATCTGAGACTTATCTAAGAGACTATCTGGGACTTATCTAAGAGACTATCTAAGACTTATCTAATAGTTTATCTGGGACTTATCTGACAGATAAACCTATCTAGAAGAGGACTTATCTGACAGATTAAATTAAAATAAAACTCCAATCTCACTGTATTTATTTAGTTTCCAAACGTCACTTGTGGAGTAGAAACACTTGACTCGTGGTCGCCGGAGTCGTCGCCGCTTCAGCCGCGCGGCCGGGAACTCGTACTGCTGGTCGGCGCCGAGACAAGCGGCCGACATGAAGTACAGAGTGTAGTGTGCGGCCGCCTGCTCCTACCGCGGGCCGCGAGCACCCCGGGACACGCGCTCGGTGGACTTGTCTCGCAGATACACTGCGACAGAGCCGCGACACTTGTCCGGAGCTTGTCTGCCAGATACACTACGACGGAGCAGACACTTATCTGACAGATACACTACGACAGAGCAGACACTTATCTGACAGATAAACTACGACAGAGCAGACACTTATCTGACAGATAAACTACGACAGAGCAGACACTTATCTGACAGATAAACTACGACAGAGCAGACACTTATCTGACTGATAAACTACGACAGAGCAGACACTTATCTGACAGATAAACTACGACAGAGCAGACACTTATCTGACAGATAAACTACGACAGAGCCTAGACACTTACCTACAACTTATCTGACACATAAACTACTTATAGCCTATCTGAAACTTATCTGAAAGATAAGTAACTAAGCCTTCAGAGAACCTATCTGTGGGTTATCCAGGATTTATCTGACAGATAAACTTATCTTATGGTTTATCTGGGACTTATCTGATAAAATAAAACTCCAGTCTCAGTGTATTTATTTAGTTTCCAAACATGACTTGTGGAGTAGAAACACTTGGCTCGTGGTCGCCGGAGTCGTCGCCGCTTCAGCCGCGCGGCCGGGAACTCGTACTGCTGGTCGGCGCCGAGACAAGCGGCCGACATGAAGTACAGAGTGTAGTGTGCGGCCGCCTGCTCCTACCGCGGGCCGCGAGCACCCCGGGACACGCGCTCGGTGGACTTGTCTCACAGATACACTGCGACAGAGCCGCGACACTTGTCCGGAGCTTGTCTGCCAGATACACTGCGACGGAGCAGACACTTATCTGCAGATAAACTACGACAGAGCAGACACTTATCTGACAGATAAACTACAGTTGTAAGTTATCTGACAGATAAACTACGACGGAGCAGACACTTATCTGACAGATAAACTACAGTTGTAAGTTATCTGACAGATAAACTACGACAGAGCAGACACTTATCTGACAGATAAACTACGACAGAGCAGACACTTATCTGGAACTTATCTGACAGATAAACTACGACAGAGCAGACACTTATCTGGAACTTATCTGACAGATAAACTACGATAGAGCACACTTAACTGATATATAAACTACAATTGTAACTTATCTCACAGATAAACTACTTATCTCATAGCCTATCTGTAACTTATCTGACAGATACACTACGACAGAGCAGACACTTATCTGACAGATAAACTATAATAGAGCCTAGACACTTATCCGGAGCTTATCTGACTGATAAACTACGATAGAGCAGACACTTATCTGACAGATAAACTACGACAGAGCAGACACTTATCTGACAGATAAACTATAATAGAGCCTAGACACTTATCCGGAGCTTATCTGACAGATAAAGTACGACAGAGCATGTCAGACACTTTATCTGACAGATAAACTACAATTGTAACTTATCTGCCTGATAAACTACTTATCTAGTAGTTTATCCAGAAGTTATCTGTTAGATAAACTACTTATCTGATAGTCTATCTGGAACTTATCTGACAGATAAACTACAGTTACAAGTTATCTGACAGACAAAGTACAGGTCTTTAAAGCCCTAAGAGCCTATCTGGGACCTATCTAAAAGATTATCTGGGACTTATCTAAAAGACTATCTAAGACTTATCTAAGAGACTATCTTAGACTTATCTAAGAGACTATCTGGGACTTATTTATTCTAAGAGACTATCTGGGACTTATCTAAGAGACTATCTGGGACTTACCTAAGACACTATCTGGGACTTATCTAAGAGACTATCTGAGACTAATCTACCTAGTTTTCTATCAAAACTTATCTGACAGATAAACTTATCTAACAGTTTATAACAGAACCTAGACACTTGTCCGGAGCTTATCTGACAGATAAACTACAACAGAGCAGACACTTATCTGACAGATAAACTGCGATAGAGCCGACACTTATCTGATAGATAAACTACAATGTAACTTATCTGACAGATAAACTACGACAGGGCAGACACTTATCTGACAGATAAACTTCAGTTGTAAGTTATCTGACAGATAAACCACGACAGAACCTAGACACTTATCTGGAACTTATCTGACATTTCAACTGGGAATATTTCACTTATCTAACAGGTAAACTATACATAGAGCCTAGACACTTAGGCTGATAGGTAGGTATACTACGATATGATAGAGCAGACCCTTATCTGAAACTTATCTAACTGATAAAATACTTATCTAGCAGACTATCTGTAACTTATCTGACAGATAAACTGCGATTTTTAATCTAATGACAGCTCTAATTTGGCATTGATTTCATAGCCTATATGGAACTTATCTGTCAGATAAATTACAGGTCTCAAATAGCAGCCCTAAGAGCCTATCTGGGACTTATCTAGTGGTCTATCTGATACTTATCTGACAGATAAACTACTTATATTATAGGCTATCTGGAACTTATCTGACAGATAAAGTACAGGTCTTAAATCCTAAGACTATCTGGGACTTATCTAAGAGACTATCTGGGACTTATCTAAGAGCCTGTCTGGATCTTATCTGACAGATAAACTACTTATCTTGTAGCCTATCTGGAACTAATCTGACAGATAAACTACTTATCTAAAGCCCAACTGGAACTCATCTGACAGTTAAGCTACTTATCTGATAGTCTATCTGGAACTTTTATAAACTAGTATATTTTTAGCTTTATAGGTTCAGCTCTAAGCCTTTCGGCATTGATCTAGTAGCCTATCTGAAACTTATCTGACAGATAAGTAACAGCCTTCAGAGAGCCTTTCGTTAGAACCTATCTAGTGGGTTATCCAGGATTTATCTGACAAATAAACTTATCTAATAGTTTATCTAGAACGTATCTGGCAGATAAACTACTTATATTTGCCTATCTGGAATTTGTCTGACCGATAAACTACTTAGAGCCTATCTACAACTTATCCAGGATTTATCTGACATATAAACTTATCTAATAGTTTATCTGGGACTTATCTGGCAGATAAAATAAAACTCCAATTACACTTTATTTATTTATTTTCCAAACAAGTAAACTTAATGCACTATTCGTCGTCGCTGGAATCAGAAGCAGCCTCAGCCACATCTATAGAGAACTTGTACTCCTGGTCGGCCCCGAGATAAGCGTCCGACATGAAGTACAGAGTGTAGGTGTGCCTTCCTCCTACTCCTACTACGAAGTCCAGTCTGACTTTGGCCGCTCGACCGAGGGACACGCGCTTGATGGATAGTAGAGTATTGGTTTTGGGGTCTCCGATCACCACCCACCAGCCTTCTTCGCGTTTCTGTTAGAGAAAATAGAAAAATATAATAAATTTTAAGCAAAATGATGAAAATTTTGGTTTTTTAAGACGATTCTATCTACAGTATTATGAGTACTTTCCCATCAGGTGGCATTACAAAATTGACTATTTGACACCATTCCCCAATAATTGGAAATCACATTTTACTGCATTCTGGTCTTAAAAACTTATTTTTTTTTATCAAGATTTTTGGTCGCAATGTAATTGAAAAAAGTAGTTCAATTGAGTTGAGAAAATAGTGACGTCACTTGCTTGTATTGCCATACAATATCTATGGGAGAGTCTCGTTTTGACAGTTTTAAAAAGTACGTCAATTACAAATACAAATACAAATAAGTTTATTGTGCATAATGTTACAATTTGTACAAACCGAAAAATAGTTAAATAACTAACTGTATCTCTTATTTAACTTAAAACCAATTTTAAAGCAATACAATTTTATTAGAAAAATGTAGGTAGGTACAGAAACACAATCCTTTACCTTCCGTACTAGTACAAGACTGTGTTACGGCAAGGTAATGATAAAATCGTCCTAGGCATAAGGTACATTTTGCAATTGATTGGTGGGTGGTATCAACACACCTATTCCACCTGTATAATGTAGTCGACCTGTCATTACGTTGATGTTGAATATACGGTACTAACCTGAGGAAAGTAGGGCGCTATGACGGGCCCTTGAACCTCGTCCTCGCGCTCCAAAGACACCTCCACCACGATCGGCTTGCCGGCCGCTAAGCGGCGCTCATTCTTCACCTGAAAAGTAATCAAATGATTATGTTAAAAACGTTTTTATAACTGTCAATGAGTAAAGTAGTTACGTCATATAGATGACCCACGCTCACAGATATGGATTAGAGTAGATACAGCAAGTTGATCGTCAAAGCGTGCCATTCCGATATGTCCAAATGGACATACATGGTCGAGTGATGTTCATGTAATCCGATTACAACAATCGGTTACGATGATTTTACGAGGACAGTAGTACGAACACGGTAGAAAGAAGAAATTATTTACGGATTGAGAATTGTAATTAACAGCACAAGTAACAAATAATTAATTAGAATAAAGTAGCAGTAGAAGAAGTATAAAGTAGCATTGTTTTTAATACATATCCTGCGATGTACTCTTAAGAGTTAAAACCATGGTCCCTGTATGTGGTGCACTCATACCGATCCCAAGGAACCGTACTTACTCATAACAATAAGACACACACTGATGCATGTATTCATGCACTTGACAAATTTATGTTTTGAAACGCTGGTAGGGTAAAAAAAATAACGAGATTTGACGATTTGTAAGAATTAATATATTTTAAAAAGGTAAATAAAGATGTTTTTGGTTTTGTATTTAACAAATTATCAGTTTTATCGGAATTAATTAATTATCGAATCGAGTCGCACGATATCATTCGATGACTTTGCAAATGCAGTACGATGATACGATTACTTTTACGTTGCGACAATCACTAAAATTCGCTAAAATGACACTAATGACGTTTAAAAAGTGGCACGCTCGGCTTCATACAATTTTTGACACATGCTGCATCTATCCATATCTGTGCCCACGCTGAACTGTCTCACCAAACTCAATGACAGGGGGGCGCTACCATCGTTCAAAGAGAGAGAGAGAGAATGAGAAAAAAGAGAGAAAGCAAAGAGAGAGAAAGGGTGAATGTGTGGAAGTGAGGTTGTTTTAAAGAGCGAGTGTTTTCATATTAAAGGGGGCGCGTCTCAAATAAGTTTGGGAACCAATGTGCTAGTGTGTGTGTGTGTGTGATAGAAAGAGACATACCTCAATAGTCAACTCCACGTTGGGATACCGGTTGCAGAAGCGAGCGACATCAGCCATCTCACTCGGTTCCAACTGCAGCAGTTTGGCGCGCGCCTGGTCTTCCAGTTCCATGACGTCGAACACCGTCTCTACGCCCTGTGGGGTGCAAAAGTACACGTTATTGTATTGCCTGGTAAAATGTATGTATTGCTTATTGAGTACTAGCTAACCCAGCGAAGTTAGTACCGACTATGTTCATCAGAAATAACGTAGAATTCTAATGGTCAATGTTGAAGACGGATGCTAGGAGTATCATGGACCAAGATTGGTACCAATGACTGCATATTAGCCTAGGTGTAGACCACCGGCTTTTAGTCGGCCGATAGTTGGGCCCGATTTTAATTTGTATGAAAATCAAATCGGTGTAACGTGCGCACTTCCATACATGCCCATACTGATTAACTGCCCGATTAAACAATCGGCCGACAAAAAATTGGTGGTCTGCCTGCGCCTAAAAGAACTTAAAAGAACTCGGAATCAGACAGCGCCTATCAACCACAGTTCTGTCACGCATTTTGACCTTCGGCCATGTATCTTGGGGTAATGACTCCATAGAGCGTCTCGTAGTGCAGGGAAAAGTTGAAGGCACCAGGCTACATGGTAGATCACCAATGAGATAGACGACAATGATGACGCCACCACTGTGGAGGCTGTGATGACGTCACCTTGAGATTGGGTCATAATGACGAGAATATGGAAAGGGGTTGTACGTTAGCCATTTCCTTCTCCTTAGCCTAGGAATCTAGTTACTTAAGAGAGTCGTGCTCCTGCAATGGACACTAAATGACGTCACCTTGTCAGCGCATCTTTGCAGCAGCTCGGGCGTGAAGTGCGGCAGTTGTCGCAGGTACGAGTCCTTGGCCCACATGGCCTGGGTCACCATCTGGGCCAGCTCCATGGCGGCCACGGCTGGAGACAGCCAGCCTGAGCTGGAGACCACGACACACGCGTGCGTCACCATCTGATGACGTCACCTTGCTTCTGGTAACTTAGAGGAACTGGCCACAACGTGAGTGGTGGCCAGGCTGTGTGATGATGACGTCACCTTGTCGGCGCTGCGTCAAATCGTTCTGCCTCTAGTGACTTCGAGGGTCGTGGTTTAAAGTGGAGACTAAATGATGACGTCAGCTCCATTTGCCATTAGTTACCAGAACTAGAAGAGTCGCTCCTGTAATGGACACTAAATCGCCTGCGTCACCGTCTGATGACGTCACCATTTGATGACGTCACATCAGCGAACGCGGGGAGGTGTTCGGAAGCATTCCAGCGAGATGTGCGCAGTTTCTTCGTTTCCTTCGCTTTGGCCTTGGAATCTAGTTACTTAAGAGAGTCGTACTCCTGTATTGGACACTACGCACTGTGGCAGACGAAGCGAAGATCGGCAAGACTTGGAGCGAGATCAAACGCGAAGCTCAAGGCCGAACGCGATGGAGGACTGTTGTGGACGCCCTCTGCCCCATCTAGGGGACATAGGACCTTAAGTCAATGGACACTAAATGACGTCACCTTGTCAGCGCATCTTTGCAGCAGCTCGGGCGTGAAGTGCGGCAGTTGTCTCAGGTACGAGTCCTTGGCCCACATGGCCTGGGTCACCATCTGGGCCAGCTCCATGGCGGCCACGGCTGGAGACAGCCAGCCTGAGCTGGAGACCACGACACACGCCTGCGTCACCATCTGATGACGTAACCGCTGTGGAGACTGCGCGATGACGTCACATTGCAGGCGCTGCATGAATGTAGTCCAAATCCTTCTGCCTCTAGTGACTTAGAGGGTCGTATTTTGAAGTGGAGACTAAATGATGACTTCAGCCCCATTTGCCTTTACTAAAGCCCGGTCGCGACTGTGCGACGCAGTGAGTGCGAGCGCGACAGCAACATAATTACGCGCGAGCGATAAGGATGGGTAGCTTGGGGTCATTGGACAAAATTCTACGTGCTCACAGACCAGACTTTAGAACTAGAAGAGTCGCTCCTGCAATGAACACTAAATCGTCTGCGTCACCATGTAATGACGCCATCGTTTGATGACGTCACATCAGCGAACGCGGGGAGGTGATCGGAAGCATTCCAGCGAGATGTGCGTAGTTCTTTCGTTTCCTTCGCTTTGGCCTTGGAATCTAGTTACTTAAGAGAGTCCTGCTCCTGCAATGGACACTACGCACTGCGGCAGACGAAGCGAAGATCGGCAAGACTTGGAGCGAGATCAAACGCGAAGCTCAAGACCGAACGCGATGGAGGACTGTTGTGGACGCCCTCTGTCCCATCTAAGTGACATAGGACCTTAATTCAAGTAAGTTAATGGACACTAAATGACGTCACCTAGTCAGCGCATCTTTGCAGTAGCTCGGGCGTGAAGTGAGGCAGTTGTCTCAGGTACGAGTCCTTGGCCCACATGGCCTGGGTCACCATCTGGGCCAGCTCCATGGCGGCCACGGCTGGAGACAGCCAGCCTGAGCTGGAGACCACGACACACGCCTGCGTCACCATCTGATGACGTCACCGATATGGAGACTGCGCGATGACGTCACCTTGCTTCAGGTAACTTAGAGGAACTGGCCACAACGTGAGTGGTGGCCAGGCTGTGTGATTATGACGTCACCTTGTCGGCGCTGCGTGAATGTAGTCCAAATCCTTCTGCCTCTAGTTACTTATAGGGTCGTACTCCTGCAGATGATGACGTCAGCTCCATTTGCCTCTGGTTACTAAAAGAGTCGAGCTCCTGTAATGGACACTAAATCGCCTGTGTCACCATCTAATGACGTCACAGCTGTGGAGGCTACATGATGACGTCACATTGCAGGCGCTGCATGAATGTAGTCCAAATCCTTCTGCTTCTAGTGACTTAGAGGGTCTTATTCTGAAGTGGAGAATAAATGATGACGTCAGCTCCATTTGCCTTTAGTTACCAGAATTAGAAGAGTCGCTCCTGCAACGAACACTAGTTCGTCTGCGTCACCGTCTGATGACGTCACCGCTGTGGAGACTGGGATGACGTCACCTTGCTTCTGGTAATTTAGAGGAACTGGCCACAACGTGAGTGGTGGCCAGGCTGTGATGATGACGTCACCTTATCGGCGCAGCGTGAATGTAGTCCAAATCCTTCTGCCTCTAGTTACTTATAGGGTTGTACTCCTGCAGATGATGACGTCAGCTCCATTTGCCTTTAGTTACCAGAACTAGAAGAGTCGCTCCTGCAATGAACACTAGATCGCCTGCGTCACCGTCTGATGACGTCACCATTTGATGACGTCACATCAGCGAACGCGGAGAGGTGTTCGGAAGCATTCCAGCGAGATGTGCGCAGTTTCTTCGTTTCCTTCGCTTTGGCCTGGGGATCTAGTTACTTAAGAGAGTCGTGCCCCTGCAATGGACGCTACGCACTGTGGCAGACGAAGCGAAGATCGGCAAGACTTGGAGCGAGATCAAACGCGAAGCTCAAGACCGAACGCGATGGAGGACTGTTGTGGACGCCCTCTGCCCCATCTAGGGGACACAGGACCTTAATTCAAGTAAGTCAATGGACACTAAATGACGTCACCTTGTCAGCGCATCTTTGCAGCAGCTCGGGCGTGAAGTGCGGCAGTTGTCTCAGGTACGAGTCCTTGGCCCACATGGCCTGGGTCACCATCTGGGCCAGCTCCATGGCCGCCACGGCTGGAGACAGCCAGCCTGAGCTGGAGACCACGACACACGCCTGCGTCACCATCTGATGACGTCACCGCTGGGGAGACTGCGCGATGACGTCACCTTGCTTCTGGTAACTTAGAGGAACTGGCCACAACGTCAGTGGTGGCCAGGCTGTGTGATGATGACGTCACCTTGTCGGCGCAGCGTAAATGTAGTCCAAGTCCTTCTGCCTCTAGTTACTTATAGGGTCGTACTCCTGCAGATGATGACGTCAGCTCCATTTGTCTGGTTACTAGAAGTCTCAAGCTCCTGTAATGGAGACTAAATCGTCTGCGTCACCATCTGATGACGTCACCGCTGTGGAGACTGCGCGATGACGTCACATTGTAGGCGCTGCGTGAATGTAGTCCAAATCCTTCTGCCTCTAGTGACTTAGAGGGTCGTATTCTGAAGTAGAGACTAAATGATGACGTCAGCTCCATTTGCCTTTAGTTACCAGAACTAGAAGAGTCGCTCCTGCAATGAACACTAGTTCGTCTGCGTCACCGTCTGATGACGTCACCGCTGTGGAGACTGGGATGACGTCACCTTGCTTCTGGTAATTTAGAGGAACTAGCCACAACGTCATTGGTGGCCAGGCTGTAATGGGCACTAAATCGCCTGCGTCACCATCTGATGACGTCACAGGTGTGGAGGCTACAAATGACGTCATATGAGGTGAGAAGGGGAACCAATCGAGCTAACTGCGCCTTGCTGCCGTTGTTTTCGCCTTCGAGTAACTGAGAGGGTCTTGCTCCTGCAATGGACACTAAATGGTGATGATAATGACGTCACCTTGTCAGCGCATCTTTGCAGCAGCTCGGGCGTGAAGTGCGGCAGTTGTCGCAGGTACGAGTCCTTGGCCCACATGGCCTGGGTCACCATCTGGGCCAGCTCCATGGCGGCCACGGCTGGAGACAGCCAGCCTGAGCTGGAGACCACGACACACGCCTGCGTCACCATCTGATGACGTCACCGCTGTGGAAACTGGGATGACGTCACCTAGCTTCTGGTAACTTAGAGGAACTGGCCACAACGTCAGTGGTGGCCAGGCTGTGTGATGATGACGTCACCTTGTCGGCGCTGCGTGAATGTAGTCCAAATCCTTCTGCCTCTAGTTACTTATAGGGTCGTACTCCTGCAGATGATGACGTCAGCTCCATTTGCCTTTAGTTACCAGAACTAGAAGAGTCGCTCCTGCAATGAACACTAGATCGCCTGCGTCACCGTCTGATGACGTCACCATTTGATGACGTCACATCAGCGAACGCGGGGAGGTGTTCGGAAGCATTCCAGCGAGATGTGCGTAGTTCCTTCGTTTCCTTCGCCTTTGCATAGGAATCTAGTTACTTAAGAGAGTCCTGCTCCTGCAATGGACACTACGCACTGTGGCAGACGAAGCGAAGATCGGCAAGACTTGGAGCGAGATCAAACGCGAAGTTCAAGACCGAACGCGATGGAGGACTGTTGTGGACGCCCTCTGCCCCATCTAGGGGACATAGGACCTTAAGTCAAGTAAGTCAGTGGACACTAAATGACGTCACCTTGTCAGCGCATCTTTGCAGCAGCTCCGGTGTGAAGTGCGGCAGTTGTCGCAGGTAGGAGTCCTTGGCCCACATGGCCTGGGTCACCATCTGGGCCAGCTCCATGGCGGCCACGGCTGGAGACAGCCAGCCTGAGCTGGAGACCACGACACACGCGTGCTTACGTCACCATCTGATGACGTCACCGCTCTGGTGACTGGAATGACGTCACCTTGCTTCAGGTAACTTAGAGGAACTGGCCACAACGTCAGTGGTGGCCAGGCTGTGTGATAATGACGTCACCTTGTCGGCGCTGCGTGAATGTAGTCCAAGTCCTTCTGCCTCTAGTTACTTATAGGGTCGTACTCCTGCAGATGATGACGTCAGCTCCATTTGCCTTTAGTTACCAGAACTAGAAGAGTCGCTCCTGCAACGAACACTAGTTCGTCTGCGTCACCGTCTGATGACGTCACCGCTGTGGAGGCTACATGATGACGTCACCTTGCTTCTGGTAACTTAGAGGAACTGGCCACAACGTCAGTGGTGGCCAGGCTGTGTGATGATGACGTCACCTTGTCGGCGCTGCGTGAATGTAGTCCAAATCCTTCTGCCTCTAGTTACTTATAGGGTTGTACTCCTGCAGATGATGACGTCAGCTCCATTTGCCTTTAGTTACCAGAACTAGAAGAGTCGCTCCTGCAATGAACACTAGATCGTCTGCGTCACCGTCTGATGACGTCACAGCTGTGGAGACTGGGATGACGTCACCTTGCTTCTAGTTACTTAGAGGAACTGGCCACAACGTGAGTGGTGGCCAGGTTGTGTGATGATGACGTCACCTTGTCGGCGTTGCGTGAATGTAGTCCAAATCCTTCTGCCTCTAGTTACTTATAGGGTCGTACTCCTGCAGATGATGACGTCAGCTCCATTTGCCTTTAGTTACCAGAACTAGAAGAGTCGCTCCTGCAATGAACACTAGTTCGCCTGCGTCACCATCTGATGACGTCACCGCTGTGGAGGCTACATGATGACGTCACATTGTAGGCGCTGCATGAATGTAGTCCAAATCTTTCTGCCTCTAGTGAGTTAGAGGGTCGTATTCTGAAGTGGAGACTAAATGGTGACGTCAGCTCCATTTGCCTTTAGTTACCAGAACTAGAAGAGTCGCTCCTGCAATGAACACTATCGTCTGCGTCACCGTCTGATGACGTCACCACTGTGGAGACTGAGATGACGTCATTCACCTTGCTTCTGGTAACTTAGAGGAACTGGCCACAACGTCAGTGGTGGCCCCGCTGTGTGATGATGACGTCACCTTGTCGGCGCTGCGTGAATGTAGTCCAAATCCTTCTGCCTCTAGTGACTTAGAGGGTCGTATTCTGAAGTGGAGACTAAATGATGACGTCAGCTCCATTTGCCTTTAGTTACCAGAACTAGAAGAGTCGCTCCTGCAATGAACACTATCGTCTGCGTCACCGTCTGATGACGTCACCGCTGTGGAGGCTACATGATGACGTCACCTTGCTTCTGGTAACTTAGAGGAACTGGCACAACGTTAGTGGTGGCCAGGCTGTGTGATGATGACGTCACCTTGTCGGCGCAGCGTGAATGTAGTCCAAATCCTTCTGCCTCTAGTTACTTATAGGGTTGTACTCCTGCAGATGATGACGTCAGCTCCATTTGCCTCTGGTTACTAGAAGAGTCGAGCTCCTGTAATGGAGACTAAATCGTCTGCGTCACCGTCTGATGACGTCACCATTTGATGACGTCACATCAGCGAACGCGGGGAGGTGTTCGGAAGCATTCCAGCGAAATGTGCGCAGTTTCTTCGTTTCCTTCGCTTTGGCCTGGGGATCTAGTTACTTAAGAGAGTCCTGCTCCTGCAATGGACACTACGCACTGTGGCAGACGAAGCGAAGATCGGCAAGACTTGGAGCGAGATCAAACGCGAAGCTCAAGACCGAACGCGATGGAGGACTGTTGTGGACGCCCTCTGCCCCATCTAGGGGACATAGGACCTTAATTCAAGTAAGTTAATGGACACTAAATGACGTCACCTTGTCAGCGCATCTTTGCAGCAGCTCGGGCGTGAAGTGCGGCAGTTGTCGCAGGTAGGAGTCCTTGGCCCACATGGCCTGGGTCACCATCTGGGCCAGCTCCATGGCCGCCACGGCTGGAGACAGCCAGCCTGAGCTGGAGACCACGACACACGCCTGCGTCACCATCTGATGACGTCACCGCTGTGGAAACTGGGATGACGTCACCTAGCTTCTGGTAACTTAGAGGAACTGGCCACAACGTCAGTGGTGGCCAGGCTGTGTGATGATGACGTCACCTTGTCGGCGCTGCGTGAATGTAGTTCAAATCCTTCTGCCTCTAGTTACTTATAGGGTCGTAATCCTGCAGATGATGACGTCAGCTCCATTTGCCTCTGGTTACTAAAAGAGTCGAGCTCCTGTAATGGACACTAAATCGCCTGCGTCACCGTCTGATGACGTCATCGCTCTGGAGACTGCGCGATGACGTCACCTTGTCGGCGCTGCGTGAATGTAGTCCAAATCCTTCTGCCTCTAGTGACTTAGAGGGTCGTGGTTTAAAGTGGAGACTAAATGATGACGTCAGCTCCATTTGCCTTTAGTTACCAGAACTAGAAGAGTCGCTCCTGCAATGAACAATAAATCGTCTGCGTCACCGTCTGATGACGTCACCGCTGGGGAGACTGGGATGACGTCACCTTGCTTCAGGTAACTTAGAGGAACTGGCCACAACGTCATTGGTGGCCAGGCTGTGTGATGATGACGTCACCTTGTCGGCGCTGCGTGAATGTAGTCCAAATCCTTCTGCCTCTAGTTACTTATAGGGTCGTACTCCTGCAGATGATGACGTCAGCTCCATTTGTCTGGTTACTAGAAGTCTCAAGCTCCTGTAATGGACACTAAATCGCCTGCGTCACCATCTGATGACGTCACCGCTGTGGAGGCTACATGATGACGTCACATTGCAGGCGCTGCATGAATGTAGTCCAAATCCTTCTGCTTCTAGTGACTTAGAGGGTCTTATTCTGAAGTGGAGAATAAATGATGACGTCAGCTCCATTTGCCATTAGTTACCAGAACTAGAAGAGTCGCTCCTGCAATGAACACTAAATCGTCTGCGTCAGCGTCTGATGACGTCACCATGTGATGACGTCACATCAGCGAACGCGGGGAGGTGTTCGGAAGCATTCCAGCGAGATATGCGCAGTTCTTTCGTTTCCTTCGCTTTGGCCTTGGAATCTAGTTACTTAAGAGAGTCCTGCTCCTGCAATGGACACTACGCACTGTGGCAGACGAAGCGAAGATCGGCAAGACTTGGAGCGAGATCAAACGCGAAGCTCAAGACCGAACGCGATGGAGGACTGTTGTGGACGCCCTCTGCCCCATCTAGGGGACATAGGACCTTAAGTTAAGTAAGTCAATGGACACTAAATGACGTCACCTTGTCCGCGCATCTTTGCAGCAGCTCGGGCGTGAAATGCGGCAGTTGTCGCAGGTACGAGTCCTTGGCCCACATGGCCTGGGTCACCATCTGGGCCAGCTCCATGGCGGCCACGGCTGGAGACAGCCAGCCTGAGCTGGAGACCACGTCGACGCATGCTTGGATGAGGCGGATGGCCTGAAAGATAAATTGAAGTGAGTTACGCATAAAGTTAATATACCTAGCGGAGTAGAGCAACAACCACGAGCTGTCAAACGAAACCAATTTTGGATGACACTGGATATCATTTGTGTGTCACTGTCAGGATTATTTCGCTGTTTTGTACAATGAATCAATCACTGGACCAGTCATCATGTTTCTGAATCACTATTTCTCAGAAGCATCCACGATTTCAATCACATAAAATTTAAAAAATTTCAGAGTTCAAATTTTGAGCATGCCAATGAGTGTTAAAGAACTGTCAAATAGTTGCAAAAAGCGGTTCTGTTACTTCGCATCACGCATCTTTTTTTATCAAACAGTGTTGCTGCTGATGACATCTCGCTCGCTCAGTCCTTTGTTGCTCTGGTTAACGGAGAAGAGGAGCGAACAGAGGAAGCGGAGCGGGTTAGCGGAGAAGTTTAGCGGAGAGATTCTCACCTTAACCAGCACTTGAGCGGTGTCAGCATGCAGTTCAGCCGGCAGTTGCATCCGAGATAAATGCGCTTGGAGCAACACTTGTGCCTTCACGTGGGGATCGTTGTATTTCACAGCGCCGCCGGAAGGCGCGGTCGGCTTGTGGGGGACTAGTGAGACTAGGGGAAGCGGAGAGGGGAAGCGTAGAGGAAGCGGAGAAGTGGAGGGTTAGCGGATAGGAAGCGGAGAAGTGGAGGGTTAGCGGAGAGGAAGCGAAAATGGTGGAAGGTTAGCGGAGAGGAAGCGGAGAATTAAGGGTTAGCGGAGAGGAAGCGGAGAAGTGGAGGGTTAGCGGAGAGGAAGCGAAAATGGTGGAAGGTTAGCGGAGAGGAAGCGGAGAATTAAGGGTTAGCGGAGAGGAAGCGGAGAAGTTGAGGGTTAGCGGAGAAGTGTCAAAGACAATATACTGACCTTAACCAACACTTGAGCGGTGTCAGCATGCAGTTCAGCCGGCAGTTGCATCCGAGATAAATGCGCTTGGAGCAACACTTGTGCCTTCACGTGGGGATCGTTGTATTTCACAGCGCCGCCGGAAGGCGCGGTCGGCTTGTGGGGGACTAGTGAGACTAGGGGAAGCGGAGAGGGGAAGCGTAGAGGAAGCGGAGAAGTGGAGGGTTAGCGGATAGGAAGCGGAGATATTGGAAGGTTAGCGGAGAGGGTTAGCGGAGATGGGAATAATGGATGCTGATGTTAGCGGAGATGAAGCGGAAAAGTGGGGGGAAAGCGGAGAGGAAGCGGAGATATTGGAAGGTTTGCGGAGAGGAAGCGGAGAAGTGTCTTAACGCACTCACCTTAACCAACACTTGTGCGGTATCAGCATGCAGTTCAGCCGGCAGTTGCATCCGAGATAAATGCGCTTGAAGCAACACTTGAGCTTTCACGTGGGGATCGTTGTATTTCACAGCGCCGCCAGAGGGCGCTGTACTAGTACACTAGGTCAGAGGAGAGGAAGCGGAGAAGTGGAGGGTTAGCGGAGAGGAAGCGAAAATGGTGGAAGGTTAGCGGAGAGGAAGCGGAGAAGTGAAGGGTTTGCGGAAAGGAAGCTGAGGGTTAGCGGAGAAGAAGCGGAGAAGTGTCAATGACAGTATACTGACCTTAACCAACACTTGAGCGGTGTCAGCATGCAGTTCAGCCGGCAGCTGCATCCGCGACAAATGCGCTTGGAGCAACACTTGTGCCTTCACGTGGGGATCGTTGTATTTCACAGCGCCGCCGGAGGGCGCGGTCGGCTTGTGGGGGACTAGTGAGACTAGGGGAAGCGGAGAGGGGAAGCGTAGAGGAAGCGGGGAAGTGGAGGGTTAGCGGATAGGAAGCGGAGAGCGTAAAGGAAGCGGAGGGGGTTAACGGATATGGAAATAGGGGATGCGGATGGTAGCGGAGAGGAAGCGGAGAATTAAGGGTTAGCGGAGAGGAAGCGGAGAAGTTGAGGGTTAGCGGAGAAGTGTCAAAGACAGTATACTGACCTTAACCAACACTTGCGCAGTGTCAGCATGCAATTCAGCCGGCAGTTGCATCCGAGATAAATGCGCTTGAAGCAACACTTGTGCTTTCACGTGGGGGTCATTATATTTCACAGCGCCGCCAGACGGCGCGGTCGGCTTATGGGGGACTCTGCAACAAGTGATTGAACGATATACATCTTAAAGGTAGTCTATTTTATCCACGCGGCTCTCCACTATACAGTGTGAGTCACGTTAAAGTGTACATATGAAAATAAATAAAACTAGACCTATTTTTATCGATAAAAAAGAGGTCAAAATTTTTTTCAGATTTTTTTTTTAATTTTTATATAATTTTTTTTCTTCCAATTACTTATTGTAAAGAAAACGTAATAACTTTTAAACTAAGCGGTATATCCTGATAAACTAAAAACAGTAAAAATGCTAAATAACAGGTGATACTAAAAAAATACATAAAATATACAAAAAAGGCCAACAAATAATAAAAAATGAAACTTTTTGAAAAAAATCTGCTTTTAAATTCTTGTTTTTTTGGTTATTTGATAAATTTCTCCAAAAAATGCCCCTATAACCGGTGGTTTTTATTACTTTGTATTATTTTCTATCGCATTACCTTCGTAAAACCAAAAATCGCATGTCTCTATCCCTATCACAACGTTTGCAATGATCGTTTGAACTAAGCCTCTCCGGGCGCGCCATTCAACGCTTCGTTAACCACGAAACTGAAAATGGCTCTAGATTTGTAATTTTGATAGAGACAAGTTAGATTTCAAATAAAAACAAAAGATTTCGAAGTAAAATAAGCATTTTAGTTAAAATTAAAATTGTCTCTACCTGTAGCAGAGAATAATGTTGTGGCAGGCCTTTGTTCAAACGATCATAGCAAATGTTGTGATAGGGATAGAGACATGCGATTTTTGGTTTTACAAAGATAATACGATAGAGAATAATAAAAAGTAATAAAAACCACCTGTTATAGGGGCATTTTTTGGATAAATTTATCAAATAAGCAAAAAAACACGAATTTAAAAGCAGATTTTTTTCAAAAATTATCATTTTTTATTATTTGTTGGCCTTTTTTGTGTATTTTATGTATTTTTTTAGTATCACCTGTTATTTAGCATTATTACTGTTTTTAGTTTATCAGCATATACCGCTTAGTTTAAAAGTTATTACGTTTTCTTTACAATAAGTAATTGGAAGAAAAAAAATTATATAAAAATTAAAAAAAAAATCTCAAAAAATTTTTGACCTCTTTTTTGTCGATAAAAATAGGTCTAGTTTTATCTATTTTCATATGTACACTTTAACGTGACTCACACTGTATGTTATGCCTAAAGCGTACCCTCTGTTTCTTTGGACACATCATGCGGTTTCCAAGGCATTGTCTGGAGAAACAAATTTAAATTATCTTGGGACAAATGGAAGGCAGACATGCTTAGAGGCGAGATGGTTAGAGGCGTTGAGGAAGACGGTGGGCGGACACAGCTTATGACCGCAATCTATGGAGGAATACTATCTGTGGTCGCGATCCTCATCGGTGAGGAACCGAGGAAGAAGATTTTATCTACCATTAAATTATTCCCTGTCCGGGCTCCTTCCCAATGAGACATCCAGTTTTTTCAGGTACTGTCTTTGCAGGGACCCGTTTAAAAACTTATTTGCAGAAAATTAATTATTTTTAACGCAGCAGGACATAAATAGTTGCCTCGAGCATTCTTCTTTCCCCGCCCCCCAGAATGGACTAGTACCCACCCTAAGATGGTGGGGTTCGAAGATTATTTCAGTCGCGTCAGTGTATAAAAATAAAGAAATTTTTGACTTTGACTTTACTCACTTGCTGGCCAGCGCCTTGATGATGTTCTCCTCGCGGTGCCGGATGCACAGGTCGGAGTACTCCGCGGCTGCTGATATGATCTGTGTCTAGTCCAGCAGTGGACTGTATTAGTCCAGCAGTGGCCTGTATACTCACTTGCTGGCCAGCGCCTTGATGATGTTCTCCTCGCGGTGCCGGATGCACAGGTCGGAGTACTCCGCGGCTGCTGATATGATCTCCAGCAGACCCCGGATCTTGGTCTTGTTGGTGAGAGACATGCTGAACAATTCTGTGAAGAAAGAAATGATATAAAATAAAAATACATAAGTTACATACACTGTAATGAGGTATTTTGCAATAAAATGTGTGGTGTGATATGCTGTTAACTGTAACAATAACCATAACCGGCGTTTTTGGTATAGAATTTGACAGAATTTTGGCTTTTGTTATAGTTAAAGTAAGACCGAACGAGAGGGAGGACTGTGGACGCCCTCTGCCCCATCTAGGGGCCATAGGACCATAAGTCAAGTATAGTTAAAGTAAGATGGCGTGGCAAGTGGACCACAGTTCCAGTTACCCTTGCCGTTTTTTCTCTCGATCTCATCAAATGGCGATTCTTTGCGATAGGTAGTAGGGTAACTGGAAGTGTGGCCCATAATACATAATATTGGCCAAAGTTGTGGCAAAGTATTTTCAATTCTACTAAACAAAATGTAAACCTTTTCTTTTTCTAGCTCTGGGTTAAATAACGCTTGGAGCAATCAGCACTTAGTACATAATAATATCTTGTTACTCGTATAAACAAGTGGCTAGCAAAAGTGATTCTTTCGTAACTTTTCTACACCAGCTACTTTTTCCAGAAAAAATCCAAATAATAATAATCAATTATCATAATAACCACGTAAAGTATCTTCCACTCACCGATGGTAGTATAGTTGATGTAGTAGTACGAAGCAATCATTCCCAAATTAAGCGGTTGCACGTCCATTTCGTCTTCGATCGCGATGCACTTGGACGCTTCCAGGTCTGACAGCGTCGTCTCCACTAGCTCTGACAGGTGGTCTGACAGGTGCCTGTCAAATGATATATTTTACATTATGAGCACATATTAAAAGTGATATACAATGACAATGACATACATAAATATTATTTTTTTTATAAAATTTTACTTATTTCTTGCTTTTTAGTTAACTAATTATTACCTTGATGTTACTACTGAAGATAGGCAGTACACTGAGACCAAAAAAAATTGGTTCATAATCGGCGGAAATATTGCGTATAAAAAAGTTCATCCCCAATTTTCCACCCTTGGGGGTGAAATATTTTCTTCAAATTCGCATGAAACCACATTTTGATAATACCTATTCAACAAAAAAATAATCGTTCAAATTGGTTTATAATCGGCGGAGATATTGCGTATAAAAAAGTTCATCCCCAATTTTCCACCCTTGGGGGTTGTTTTTTTTATTATTAAATTTAAATGGGACCACCCTTGAGGTATTATTACCTATGCGCCGAAAAAAGATTTGTTCAAATCGGTTCATAATTGGCGGAGTTATCGCGTAACAAACATAGAAAAAAAAAACATACGGGTCGAATTGAGAACCTCCTCCTTTTTTGAAGTCGGTTGAAAATCGAACATCGCACTGTAATGTAATTACAAAACAAGGAAAAAGCTATGAAATTATTCATACATCGCACTGTGGTGAAATTTCTCACAAGACAAGGAAAAACTTATAAAATTATTCATAAAGAAGCCTCGTAACGCCGAATGTGCTTTCAGAAGAACGAATAATTTAAGTCGCAATTAAAATTTAAAAAAAAATCAAAAGCCGAGCACTTCGTGTAAAAAAAAATCTATGTTAGAGATTGTCTTTTGTAGTCATATTTTCAGGGACAATTAAAAACTTAAATCCTTGTAATTTTGCGAGAAATGGGTCAAGCCCCAAAAATGAAGTATTTTCATCGATAAAATTGTCCATAGATCACGCCCTTAAAGTTTGATCACAACAAGCCTTGTTATAGTTGGTCTTGGAAACAGTGGTCGAAGTGAGGAGGTTGGGGAGCTCAGGGACTCTCTAGCTAGACACTTGGGGAGCTCAGGGGGTCTGTCACAGACATTCAGTAGCTCAGGGAGTCTCTAGACACTCGGTAGCTCAGGGAGTGTCTATACACTCGGTAGCTCAGGGAGTCTGTCTCAGACACTCGGGAGCTCAGGGAGTCTGTTATAGACACTCGGGGAACTCAGGGAGTCTGTTATAAATACTCGGGGAACTCAGGGAGTATTCAATAGACACTTGGTGTGCTCAGGGAGTCTCTAGACACTCGGGGAACTCAGAGAGTCTCCTATAGATAACTTTCGGAGCTCATGGAGTCTCATTTAGACACTTGGGGAGCTCAGGGAGCCTCCAATAGACACTTGAGGAGCTCAGGGAGTCTCTAGACACCTGGGGAACTCAGGGAGTCTTCAATAGACACTTGGGGTAGTCAGGGAGTCTCTAGACACGCAGGTAGCTCAGGGAGTCTGTCATAGACACTTGGGGAACTCAGGGAGTCTGTCACAGACACTTGGGTAGCTCAGGGAATCTCCAATAGAAACTTGAGGAGCTCAATGAGTTCCCTTTAGACACTTGGGGAGCTCAGAGTCTCCTACTGACGCTTGGGGAGCTAAGACACGCAGGAGGGGGAGCTCAGGGAATCTCCAATAGACACTTGAGGAGCTCAATGAGTTCCCTTTAGACACATGGGGAGCTGAAGACACTTGGGAGCTCAGGGAGTCTCTATCTCTAGACACTCGGGAAGCTCAGTGAGTCTCCTATAGTGTGTACACCTGCAGTCGTGTACCAGTATGTAGTAGGTACATACCTGTGCGTGACTCCCTGCAGGTTGTAGTAGTTCGGATTCATGGTGAGCCGCCGGTAGAGGAAGGTCCAGGTCAGGTAGTCCACAGCGTCCTGTTTGTTCTCGATGGTCTTCGTCACTATTTCCGCGTTTATGTGGTCGTGGAGACGGTGGTCGAGGTGGCTCTGTAAGAAAATTTAAGACAATTATAATTTATGCCTTATTTCGCAAATATACTGGCAGAAATGCCTTATGGTATTGTTCGACTTGAAGGCTCATTAAAGTGTCATTATTCTTGTGAACGCTAAAATGTAACCTTGTTGGTGATCAAGTAAATAAATTCTGTAGTAGGAACGCGCTGGATGCAGACCGCTACCAACCGCACGATATAGAAATAGTTGGGAGAGGCTTATGTTCAGCAGTGGACATCTTGTGGCTGAAGAAAGAGTACATAAATTAATACAGTCATCATCATCATTTCAGCCACAGGATGTCCACTGCTGAACATAGGCCTCCCCCAAATTAGTGTAGTACAGTCAGCGTCAAATAATTCGTGACACCCAAAGTAGCCAAGAAGTTCGCAACTCGTCTTTATTACAATTGGAATAAGGTTATGTTGTGAACTTTATGAGCCACTTTGGGTGCCACGAACTATTTGACGCTGACTGCACAATGGAGTGTAAAATGTTCATAATTGTGACTTTATGCCATATATATATTTATAGCATATTGAAGAATCAATACTCAATACTAAATTCTTTATTGCATTTCACAGTGTAAATTAGTTCTTAATTTATTAGTCTACTTCTTCTTCCTCATACCGCCTACGTTCATCGGAAATAACGTATATTTGTCTCGAAGCGCTGTTAGGGCCCAAAAGATAAGGAGACAAGTCATACAAAGTGCCCCTTAAGGACTACCTTTTTATTATTGTTGTTGACGTTCATAAGTGCCAAAATGCTGGTCAAAATTGAAAATTTTGGATTTGATTTGAATGTAAATAAAAACGAAACGTACCTCCAGCGGCAGACAGTCGTTCAGCAGCTTGCTGTACAACGGTTTCTGGTGCTGAGCGCACATCAACACGCACACAGCGCCCTCGTCTTCTAACGGGCGGCACGCGCGGCCGGCCATCTGAAGTACCGTCGTTAAAGGGTACTGCTCGTAGGAGTGGAGCTTGCCGTTGTATCTGATAGATAGATAGATAGATTAGGTAAATATAGGCGATAAAGAGGTCTAAGGGTCGCCTAGAGAAAATTTAGGAGCTCAGGGATTCTCTTATAGACACCAGGTAGCTTAAAGAGTTACCTAACGACATTTAGGGAACTCAAAGTCTCCTATACACACTTGGTAACTCAGGGAGTCTCCGACACACACTTGGGTAGCTCAGGGAGTCGCCTATAGACACTTGATAGCTCAGAGAGTCGCCTAATAGACACCTAGGAAGCTTAGGGAGTCACTTATAGACACTTGGGGAGCTCAGTCTCTAAAAGACACATAGGAAACTCAATGAGTCTCCTTTAGACACTTAGGGACGTCAAAGAGTCCCTAATAGACACCTAGGAAGCTCAGTGAGTCTCTAAGCCTAAGAACACAGCCGGAAATCAAACTAAAGACTAAACACAATAATCGTTGATAAAGGGCGCCCGCCCGCTTAGTTAGTTATTCGCAAACCGAACACGAAATGTGTCAAAAGGGCGCCCGCTCAGTCAACACGCACACAGCGCCCTCGTCTTCCAACGGGCGGCACGCGCGGCCGGCCATCTGAAGTACCGTTGTTAGAGGGTACTGCTCGTAGGAGTGGAGCTTGCCGTTGTATCTGATAGATAGATAGATAAATTAGATAAATATAGGTGATAAAGAGGTCTGAGGGTCGCCTAGAGAAAATTTAGGAGCTCTGGGAGTCTCCTATACACACTTGGTAGCTCAGGGAGTCTCTCAAAAGACACTTGGGGCGCTCAGAGAGTATCTTATAGACAAATGGAGAGTCCCCAAGAGAAACCCCAAGAAGTCTCTATAGAAACTTGAGGGAATTTTTGGATACTATGCAGATCTCAGTCATTTAAAGACACTTAAGGAGCTTTTAGACACTATAAAGATTTCAGAGAGTCTCCTAAAGACACTTGATCTACTTCATGATCCCCAAAAGTCGCTTATAGACACTCGGGGAGCTCAGGGAGTCACTTATAGACACTTGAGGAAGCTCATTGAGCCTCCTATAGACACTCCAGGGAGCTCAGTCTGCCGTAGACACTTGGTAGCTCAGAGAGTCGCCTAATGACACTTGGGGACGTCAAAGAGTCCCTAGGAAGCTCAGGGAGTCTCTAAGTCTAAGTACACAGCCGGAAATCAAACTAAAGACTAAACACAATAATCGTTATTAAAGGGCGCCCGCCCGCTTAGTTAGTTATACGCAAACCGAACACGAAATGTGTCAAAAGGGCGCCCGCTCAGTCAACACGCACACAGCGCCCTCGTCTTCTAACGGGCGGCACGCGCGGCCGGCCATCTGAAGTACTGTTGTTAGCGGGTACTGCTCGTAGGAGTGGAGCTTGCCGTTGTATCTGATAGATAGATAGATAAATTAGATAGATATAGGCGCTAAAGAGGTCTAAGGGTCGCTTACAGAAAATTTAGGAGCTCAGGGAGTCTCTTATAGACACTAGGTAGCTTAAAGAGTTACCTAACGACATTTAGGGAGCTCAAAGTCTCCTATACACACTTGGGTAGCCCAGGGAGTCGCCTATAGACACTTGATAGCTCAGGGAGTCGCCTATAGACACTTGGGTAGCTCAGGGAGTCGCCTATAGACACTTGGGTAGCTCAGGGAGTCGCCTATAGACACTTGGGTAGCTCAGGGAGTCACGTATAGACACTTGATAGCTCAGAGAGTCACCTAATAGACACCTAGGAAGCTTAGGGAGTCACTTATAGACACTTGGGGAGCTCAGTCTCTAATAGACACCTAGGAAACTCAATGAGTCTCCTTTAGACACTTGGGAAGATCATAGAGTCGCTTAATGACACTTAGGGACGTCAAAGAGTCCCTAATAGACACCTAGGAAGCTCAGGGAGTCTCTAAGTCTAAGAACACAGCCGGAAATCAAACTAAAGACTAAACACAATAATCGTTGATAAAGGGCGCCCGCCCGCTTAGTTAGTTATACGCAAACCGAACACGAAATGTGTCAAAAGGGCGCCCGCTCAGTCAACACGCACACAGCGCCCTCGTCTTCTAACGGGCGGCACGCACGGCCGGCCATCTGAAGTACCGTCGTTAGAGGGTACTGCTCGTAGGAGTGGAGCTTGCCGTTGTATCTGATAGATAGATAGATGAATTAGATAGATATAGGCGCTAAAGAGGTCTAAGGGTCGCTTACAGAAAATTTAGGAGCTCAGGGAGTCTCTTATAGACACTAGGTAGCTTAAAGAGTTACCTAACGACATTTAGGGAACTCAAAGTCTCCTATACACACTTGGGTAGCTCAGGGAGTCGCCTATAGACACTTGATAGCTCAGGGAGTCGCCTATAGACACTTGGGTAGCTCAGGGAGTCGCCTATAGACACTTGATAGCTCAGAGAGTCGCCTAATAGACACCTAGGAAGCTTAGGGAGTCACTTATAGACACTTGGGGAGCTCAGAGTCTCTAAAAGACACATAGGAAACTCAATGAGTCTCCTTTAGACACTTAGGGACGTCAAAGAGTCCCTAATAGACACCTAGGAAGCTCAGGGAGTCTCTAAGTCTAAGAACACAGCGTGAAAATCAAACTAAAGACTAAACACAATAATCGTTGACAAAGGGCGCCCGCTCAGTTAACACGCACACGGCGCCCTCGTCTTCTAACGGGCGGCACGCACGGCCGGCCATCTGAAGTACTGTTGTTAGCGGGTACTGCTCGTAGGAGTGGAGCTTGCCGTTGTATCTGATAAATAGATAATCTTTAATTAGCCAGAAATAAGCTAAAAACTAAACTTGGTAGCTGAGGGATTCTCTCTAAAGACACTTGGGGAGCTCAGAGAGTCTCTTAGAGACACTTGGTAGCTCAGAGAGTCTCTTAGAGACACTTGGTAGCTCAGGGAGTCTCTTTTAGACACTTAAGGGAGTTCAGGGAGTCCGTTTTAGATATTTGGGGACCCCAAGGAGTCTAATAAAGAAACTTGAGGGAAGTTTTGGATACTATGCAGATCTCAAGAGTAATTTAAAGACACTAAAGGAGCTTAGACACTATAAAGACTTCAGGGAGTCTCCTAAAGACATTTGAGGGACTACATGATCCCCAGAGGTCGCTTATAGACACTTGGAGATCTCAGAGAGTCGCCTAATGACACTTGGGGAGCTCAGGGAGTCTCTAATAGACACCTAGGAAGCTCAGGGAGTCCCTTACAAACACTTAGTAGCTCAGGGAGTCTGTTATAGACACTTGGTGGCTTAGGGAGTCCCTTATAGACACTTGGGGAGCTCAGGGAGTCCCTTATAGACACTTGGTAGCTCAAGGAGTCCCTTATAGACACTTGGGGAGCTCAGGGAGTCCCTTAAAGACACTTGGGGAACTCAGTAAATCCCCTATAGTCACCCCAGGGGACGTAGAATGCCCTATAGACACTCGGGAAGCTCGTCGAGTCTCCTACAGACACTCGGCATCGCCCGGCCGCTCCCAGAAGTCCTACAATGCTGTGCGTCACTCACGCGTGCGTGTCGGCGATGATGACGGTGTGCACGTGCGCAGCAAAAGCCCAGGCCAGCTCCACAGCCACCACGCACAGCTGGATGGCGCCCGACTCCAGCAGTTGCTGCACCACGCGCCTGTCGCCGGGCTCCACGCCCTCGTGGAGGTACGCCACGCCCGCTGCGACTTTTGGACACTATACGAACCTCAGAGGAGCTTAAACACACTTGAGGAGCCTTTAGACACTATTCAAGACTTTAGGGAGTCACTTAAAGACACTTGGAGAGCTCAGGGAGTCCTTTATAGACACTTGGGGAGCTCATTGAGTCCCCTAGACACTTGATAGCTCAGAGAGTCGCCTATAGACACTTGATAGCTTAGGGAGTCTCCTAAAGACACTTGGAGAAATCAGAGTCGCCTATAGACACTTGGAGAGCTCAGGGAGTCCCCTATAGACACATGGAGAGCTCAAGGAGTCCCCTATAGACACTTGGAGAGCTCAGGGAGTCCCTTAAAGACACTTGGGGAGCTCAGTAAATCCCCTACAGTCACCCCAGGGGACGTAGAACGCCCTATAGACACTCGGGAAGCTCGTCGAGTCTCCTACAGACACTCGGCATCGCCCGGCCGCCCCCAGAAGTCCTACAATGCTGTGCGTCACTCACACGTGCGTGTCGGCGATGATGACGGTGTGCACGTGCGCAGCAAAAGCCCAGGCCAGCTCCACAGCCACCACGCACAGCTGGATGGCGCCCGACTCCAGCAGTTGCTGCACCACGCGCCTGTCGCCGGGCTCCACGCCCTCGTGGAGGTACGCCACGCCCGCTGCGACTTTTGGACACTATACGAACCTCAGAGGAGCTTCAACACACTTGAGGAGCCTTTAGACACTAAAGACTTCAGGGAGTCACTTAAAGACACTTGGGGAGCTCAGGGAGTCTCCTATAGACACTTGATGGCTCAGGGAGTCCCCTACAGACACTTGGGGAGCTCAGGGAGTCCCTTATAGACACTTGGGGAGCTCAGGGAGTCCCTTATAGACACTTGGGGAGCTCCGGCAGTCCCTTAAAGACACTAAGGGGGCTCAGTAAATCCCCTACAGTCACCACAGGGGACGTAGAACGCCCTATAGACACTCGGGAAGCTCGCCGAGTCTCCTACAGACACTCGGCATCGCCCGGCCGCTCCCAGAAGTCCTACAATGCTGTGCGTCACTCACGCGTGCGTGTCGGCGATGATGACGGTGTGCACGTGCGCAGCAAAAGCCCAGGCCAGCTCCACAGCCACCACGCACAGCTGGATGGCGCCCGACTCCAGCAGTTGCTGCACCACGCGCCTGTCGCCGGGCTCCACGCCCTCGTGGAGGTACGCCACGCCCGCTGCGACTTTTGGACACTATACGAACCTCAGAGGAGCTTCAACACACTTGAGGAGCCTTTAGACACTCTTCAAGACTTTAGGGAGTCACTTAGGGACTGCATGATCCCCAGAAGTTGCTTATAGACACTTGGGGAGCTCATTGAGTCTCCTATAGACACTTGATAGCTTAGGGAGTTTCCTAGACACTTGGGGAGCTCAATCTCTTATAGACACTCCAGGGAACTCTCAGTCTCCTATAGACACTTGGTAGCTCAGGGAGTCGCCTATAGACACTTGATAGCTCAGGGAGTCGCCTATAGACACTTAATAGCTCAGGGAGTCGCCTATAGACACTTGATAGCTCAGGGAGTCGCCTAAAGACACTTGGGGAACTCAGAGATCCCTGAAAGACACTTGAGGGACTACATGATTCCCAGAAGTCACTTAAAGACACTTGAAGATCTCGGAGAGTATCCTAAAGACACTTGGGGAACTCAGGGAGTCCCTTATAGACACTTGATAGCTCAGGGAGTCTCCTATAAACACTTAGGGAGCTCAAATAGTCTCCTTTAGACACTTGGGGAGCTCAGGGAGTCCCTTAAAGACACTAGGGGAGCTCAGTAAATCCCCTACAGTCACCCCAGGGGACGCAGAATGCCCTAGACACTCGGGAAGCTCGTCGAGTCTCCTACAGACACTCGGCATCGCCCGGCCGCTCCCAGAAGTCCTACAATGCTGTGCGTCACTCACGCGTGCGTGTCGGCGATGATGACGGTGTGCACGTGCGCAGCAAAAGCCCAGGCCAGCTCCACAGCCACCACGCACAGCTGGATGGCGCCCGACTCCAGCAGTTGCTGCACCACGCGCCTGTCGCCGGGCTCCACGCCCTCGTGGAGGTACGCCACGCCCGCTGCGACTTTTGGACACTATACGAACCTCAGAGGAGCTTCAACACACTTGAGGAGCCTTTAGACACTACTCAAGACTTTAGGGAGTCACTTAGAGATTGCATGATCCCCAGAAGTCGCTTAAAGACACTTGGGGGGCTTTTAGAAATTACACAACCTTCATGATGTTTCCTATAGACACTTGATACCTCAGGGAGTCTCCTATAGACACTTGATACCTCAGGGAGTCTCCTATAGACACTTGATAGCTCAGGGAGTCGCCTATAGACACTTGGGGAGCTCATTGAGTCTCCTATAGACACTTGATAGCTTAGGGAGTCGCCTATAGACACTTAATAGCTCAGGGAGTCCCCTATATGAACTTGGTAGCTCAGGTAGTCGCCTATAGACACTTGGGGAGCTCAGGGAGTCCCTTATAGACACTTGATAGCTCAGGGAGTCGCCTAAAGACACTTGGGGAGATCAGTAAATCCCCTACAGTCATCCCAGGGGACGTAGAACGCCCTAGACACTCGGGAAGCTCATCGAGTCTCCTCCAGACACCCGGCATCGCCCGGCCGCTCCCAGAAGTCCTACAATGCTGTGCGTCACTCACGCGTGCGTGTCGGCGATGATGACGGTGTGCACGTGCGCAGCAAAAGCCCAGGCCAGCTCCACAGCCACCACGCACAGCTGGATGGCGCCCGACTCCAGCAGTTGCTGCACCACGCGCCTGTCGCCGGGCTCCACGCCCTCGTGGAGGTACGCCACGCCCGCTGCGACTTTTGGACACTATACGAACCTCAGAGGAGCTTAAACACTCTTGAGGAGCCTTTAGACACTATTTAAGACTTCAGGGAGTCACTTAAAGACCCTTGAGGAGCCTTTATACACTACTAAAGACTTTAGGGAGTCACTTAGAGACACTTGAGGGACTACATAATGCCCAGAAGTCGCTTATAGACACTTGGGGAACTCAAGAGAGTCGTCTATAGACACTTGATAGCTCAGGGAGTCTCCTAAAGACACTTGGGGAACTCAGGGAGTCCCCTATAGACACTTGGGAGCTCAGGGAGTCCCTTAAAGACACTTGGGGAGCTAAGGGAGTCCCTTAAAGACACTTGGGGAGCTCAGTAAGTCCCCTATAGTCACCCCAGGGCACGTAGAATGCCCTAGACACTCGGGAAGCTCGTCGAGTCTCCTACAGACACTCGGCATCGCCCGGCCGCTCCCAGAAGTCCTACAATGCTGTGCGTCACTCACGCGTGCGTGTCGGCGATGATGACGGTGTGCACGTGCGCAGCAAAAGCCCAGGCCAGCTCCACAGCCACCACGCACAGCTGGATGGCGCCCGACTCCAGCAGTTGCTGCACCACGCGCCTGTCGCCGGGCTCCACGCCCTCGTGGAGGTACGCCACGCCCGCTGCGAGGGTTTCTTTCAACATCTGGGAAAAGAAACTCGAGTTAATATGACAAGATATGTACATTATTTTGATGTAATATAGAAAAACCTGGAACTAAAAATAGGCTAGTTTCCTAAAAAAATTTTTAGTCCGTCATGTTTAATATCAAAAAATATTGGACAGATATATTTTTATTTGTCAATCTAACAAACAATTACATAGTTATGGTGCGTTGAAGTTCGGCACGACGTCACAACGTGCGGCACTTTTATGCGCGCATTAACGTCACGGGCCTCTTCTTGTGAACTTTGGCGCGCTTTATCTTTTTAAATTTTCATTAGTTTGAAAAAGTGAAAAATACGTGTAGAGTATTTTTTGATAAGTTAACTGACGGACTAATTAAAACTCTTGCTTTTTGACCCAGGAAACATCCCTATTTAAGTTAAGAAATCTATACTTATATTATAAACTGAAGAGCTTGTTTGTTTGTTTGTTTGAACGCGCTAATCTCCGGAACTATTGGTCCGATTTGAAAAATTATTTCAGTATTAGATAGCCCATTTATCGAGGAAGGCTATAGGCTATAAAACATCACGCTACGATCAATAGGAGCAGAGCAGCAATGAAAAATGTTGCGAAAACGGGTTTTCACGCGTACGAAGTCGCGGGCACAGCTAGTGTACATACATAATGGCCCTCGCCCACGGCGACTTTCGTAAACGAGCGACTGCATCGCTACGAACGCGCGTTAGTCGCATTTACAACGCACTACAGAAGCGATGCCAACGCGCTACTAACGCGCTACAAAAAGTCACCATGGGCGAGGGCCCTAGTAGTTAATAGAGTTGAGGTCCAGCCAAACAAAGGCGTTCAGTCAGCGTCCGCTATCGATGGCTCCTACGTATACTGGCGTAAGTGAAAAAAGTAAATTTTACAGGAGAGCCATTTAAGTGGCCAGAACCATATTTTTGGGTCATATCTTCTGACCTACTAAAACGAATTTAATGAAATTTCACATTTAGCCTTAACATGTAATGCTTTTGCTACTGCTGTTATCAATTTTTATATTTTTCTTATATATTTTGAGATTTTACGCATTGCCCTTTTACGTCGTCACATTTCTATAATTTCATGTATATTGTTCAACGTAAAGAGACTTAAATGACAACATAAATATAATATTTTAAGCGATTACTCTCTTTATTTATGCATGTGTTAGCGCCATCTATGGGCGCAAGAAAACAACTCATGACGTCAAAGGCGCGGAACCAGAGTGAAGATCGCAGCTAACTTCGCGCCGCGCCGCCCTCCTGTCAACTTAAAATCGAACGTTTCTAACACTCGACAATTTGATCTCGTTGCATACAGTCTGTAAACCTGTCACTTTAAATAAACGTTAAAACCGTAATTTCAATAATAATTAGTCATTGAAGAGACCCTTATTCCTACACAATATTCGAAAGTCTGAGCTCGAAACATGTTCCTTCGCGCCGGATGACATGTTCCATCGCACCAGCTGACGGGATTCAAGATACCACAGAAGTCGATACCTGTTGCGTGTCAAGAGAGAAACCCTGTGAAAGAAGCAGCTCTGGAATAACGGTCAGGTTAAACCACTCCTTTCCCTTCCTATTTTAATCGATTTGTGCTAATATTGTGTCGTGTTTGCGGATTTCAGTCGATATTGCAACCGTTACAACTACCTACCTACGTTGTCGCGTTGGTGGGTGCCGGGTCTGCCTATTGCAACGAGCGTCGGGGTGATCTATACGATTGTAAGTACCTTTTGTTTCCTAAATTCTTCTCAAAATGAGCGAGGATAGCGATAGATCAAAGCTGAATGTACCAAAGTCAAGAGAGGGTAGTCATTCGCCTTCTAGAGAACTTAAATTAACCGTTTCAGACCTCAAAAAACAAAGAGGAATTCTGAAAGGTCGTGTAACTTCTTTTGAAAGCTATATTTTAAAATTTCAGAATTTGGTTATTACAAAATGTCAAGCAGTTGAACTAAATTTAAGAATTTTGAAGTTGGAATCAGTTATTGATGAGTTTTACAAAATTCAAGATAAAATCGAACAGTTTTGTGATGATAATGATCTTTCAATAAATATTGAGTACCGCGAAAGCTTCGAAGAACAATATTTTCGAAGTGTTTCTGTCGCTAAAGTCATTATAGAAGACCAAAGTAATAACCAAAATTCGGTAAATACGCAGGGTTCAAACGATCATAGCAAATGTTGTGATAGGGATAGAGACATGCGATTTTTGGTTTTACAAAGATAATACGATAGAAAATAATACAAAGTAATAAAAACCACCGGTTATAGGGTCATTTTTTGGAGAAATTTATAAAATAACCAAAAAAACACGAGTTTTTAAGCAGATTTTTTTCAAAAAGTATCATTTTTTATTATTTGTTGGCATTTTTTTGTGTATTTTATGTATTTTTTTAGTATCGCCTGTTATTTAGCATTATTACTGTTTTTATTTTATCAGGATATACAACTTAGTTTAAAAGTTATTACGTTTTCTTTACAATAAGTAATTTGAAGAAAAAAAATTCTATAAAAAATTAAAAAAAAATCTCAAAAATTTTTTGACCTCTTTTTTGTCGATAAAAATAGGTCTAGTTTCATCTATTTTCATATGTACACTTTAACGTGACTCACACTGTATATGTGTAGTATGTTTTTGAATTTATCAATCGAGGATAGGTACAAATTAGTAAATGAAAAGAAACTTTGCCATAATTGTCTGCGCGGTGGCCATTCTATAACTAACTGTTATTTT